TGTGTGTGTGTGTGTGTGTGTGTGTGTGTGTGTGTGTGTGTGTGTGTTTTCACTTTCTGGTGGTGTTGGAGGCTGGATCTGTGGCTTTGTCTAGCTAGGCATTTTTACCACTGAGCCATAGCCCCAGCCCCAGGCTGTGCTTGGGTGCTGAAACTCAGCCAGTTCTGTGGTTCTCAGGCCCCTAACCCAACACCCAGTCTGAGAACAAAATTTAAAGAGGGGAAAACTGAAGGAGAAGCTAAGATTCTGGGTCGGCTGTGTTGTTGCTCAGGTTGAGGAGCACCTGTGCTGAGACCACAGCGTCTGCTCTCAGGGCCTTTGAATGAGTGCAGAGACAGAGGCGGTCCATGGGCAGCTAAATAGGCATTCCTATGGTCACATCCACCTACCTGAGACCAGAGCAAGTGCTGAGGCTGACCACGGATGCAGCATCTCCTTGCACATGTCCATGGTAGTAGCAATGATCCTGGAAGGGAGCAAGGGGAAATCAATCAGAATAACCCAGCTTCCTCTAATCCCCTCCCCTTGCCTTAGCCATAGGACATGTCACACTGTGTTATATAGTAATCTTACTGATCAATGCTAAGCCTGATGTGACTGGCCAGAGTCTATGGTCAGTGAGAATATCAGATCTGCTTAGAGATTATCAGTAGGGTTTTGATATGCCCGATTGGCCTCCACGCTCACCTCTCTGTCACCTGCCTCTCCTCCCTCCCCCAGGAAAGCCTTGATGGCCACTGTAGTATAAAATGCATCAGCAGAACAAATCACACTGACATCCTTGGTTTACCCTCATGTAAATTGTCTCCAGTAATGAGATGAGGAAACGGATGGGGTATTTAAGCACACTGTGAAAGGCAATAAAACCAGGCCTGAATGGATGGCTTAGGAAAACAGCAGAGCAGAAGGGGCCTGTGAGGAAATGAAGGAAGAGATCTCACAGAGTAACCTACATCCAGCTCAGCGGGAAGGTCACTGAAGGAGGTCCCAAAAGGAAAAAAAAAAATCCCTGTTGAATACCTACAGCATTTGAAAAAGGAAGGGCAGAACAGATGCCTTCTAGGAAGACAGACAACTGCCCAGATTCAAGGTTAACTGTGCTGTTGAAAAAATGTTGAGTCACAGCTCCCATTAAGCAGCTGATTGGCAAGGAATGGGCACTCATACTCAGCGCTCCTCACCCAGGCCTTCATAAAGCCAGCAGAATGCTGGCTGTTTGTAGGAAAGAGACCACCTCTTCTAAGGGACAATTGGGTTTCAGCCTGTCTCTGTCATGCTCTTGTCAGCTCACAGGTGCCTTACTCCTGGTGGTGACAGTCACTCACAAAGACTCTTTCCACTTTCCTAAGAAAAATGACTCGGGCTAGACAGATGGCTCAGTGGCTAAGAGCATTTGCTGTTCTTCCAGAGGACATAGGAATGGCTCCCAGTACGGGGTTGGGCACCTCACAACTATCTGCAATTCAGTTCCAGAGCACCTGCGCACATGCATTCTCTCTCTCTCTCTCTCTCTCTCTCTCTCTCTCTCTCTCTCTCTCACACACACACACACACACACACACCCCACAATCATTTAAAAACAAACAAGACCAGGTAGTTTCAGTGACAAAGGGAAACCCATGACATCATGAGAAATTGGCTGAGATAATCTCATCTCAACAACATGAGGATCAAATTCTTGGGTCATGGGAAAGGCAAAGGATGAAGGGAGATGAGGGCTGCAGGGAGACAGGTTGCTCTGTTGGAACTTTTCTTACTGATTTTAGAGTCCTTTATATAGATTCAAGATGTTAATATTTTACCCCCTTTATTGTGTAAGAAAACTTTTTTTAACCTGACCATTATTTCTCAGTTTTTTGCTTTATAAATTTGAGTCTCTTCTGCCCCACAATTTTTCTGTATTACTAAAGGCAGTTTTCTTTGAGGTCACGGGTACATGCCTTTTATTTTCTTCTGTTTACATAGTCGTGAGAGGAGCTCTTTATTCTGCCCAGTATTTATTTATGACCTGGAAGTACAGGGCTGCTATACAAGGTGCCCTATGAACTAAGAGCAGCCATCATTCATCACTGCTCATCAGTTTTCTCCCTGACACTCTGTCATGTGCTGTGTTTGTGACTCTTCTTGTTTCTGTGATGCCTGATAGAAACAACTCCAAGGAAGAAGGATTTCATCGTGGCAGAGAAGACATGGCGAAGTTCTTGGCGTGGGAATGGGAAGCTCCTTGCCCACATGTGACAACCAAAAAACAGAGAGTGGCCCAACCCCAGTGACCCACTCCCTCCTACAAAGCCTCACATCTAAAGGTGCTACCCTCCAGCCAATAGTGCCACCAGTTGGGGACGGAGTGTTCAAGCATGTGAGACATTCAAATCATAGCATGTGGGAATACTCAGGGTATGTCTATGGTTCGCCTCTGTTTCATAGTCCACTGAGGAATGCTCAACAGTCCACTGCTAAGCCAATACTACTCTTTTAATTACAAATGTTTTACATGACAACAGCATACCCTGCAGAGCTAATTCTCTTTTCAAATTAAGATTAAATTCCCACGCTACGCATTTCACTATTTTAAAGCACACCATGTCAGCATTTTATGGTTTTATGGTGGTTTTTTTTTTTTTTTTTTTTTTTTTTAAGAGTACACAGAGTACCTGAAAGTCCTTCATCACTGAAATGCATAAGGATGCACAACGATCACCACTATCTAATTCAGGAGCACTTTAATGACTGCACAGAGACATCTGGGGCAGCAGGCTCGCCTCACCACCCTTGGCAACCGCTGGTCCACCTTCTGTCTCTGTGGATTTGCTTGCTCTGTTTGTTTGATGCAAATAGAAGCCTGCAACTCGTGGCCCCGTGCCTGGCTTCCTTCATGCAGTGTAATGCTTTCCAGGTTCCGCTCTGCTTTCTTTTTCTTGCCGAAGAGGATTGCACTGCACACACTGCAGTGTGGACAGCTGGTGTCCAGAGGCCAGGACCGGAGAAGAAATGACCCGCAGATGGAAAACTGTGGAGGCAGTGGGTCCTAGAGGTGAGCACACAGTTCAGGGCAGCACATTTAGGAGTGCGGAGTGCCTTGTGGTCCGTCTCTCTTCCATGAGGCTGTCCTCATCAGCAAGCGGTGGTTTAGTCCAAGACACCTGGGGGACGGAAAGGGGCTGTGGCTGTCTAGCCAGCCACATCAGATGTCTAGTAGAACATCAGGAAGGGAGTATATAGGTTTTGAATGGCTTTGTTCTGCTCCTCTCTCTCTCTTTCAGGAGTCATGTAAAAAACTTGCTTGCCACAAGGGGCACATTTAACTGAACTGAAATACTTCATGGCATCAGGGAGATCTTGGTCCCCTCCCAGGCTGTGGTATACAGGCTGGGGGATTCTAGCCCTGGGCACCTGCAGACATGCCAAAGCCGAAGATGACGCTGAGTAGGACAGGGCTGACCTTTGAGATCTATGGTAGAGTTTCCTTCATTTGGGGGGAGGGGGTGAACATCCAAATAGTGACAATAATTACTGACTTCTGAAATTTGAAACTCATTTGTTCTCAGGCTCTGTTGTTAATGGATTATTTATCAAGTGTACTTTCTAATTAAATACACAGGAATACAAGCTCATTAAAGCATGAGCTGAGAACAAATTAGTATCAGATTAATTTCCAGTTCAATAACTTGAAATATTGCTTTTATAAAGCAGGGGAAGTGGAGCTTAGTGCTCATAAACCATTCCCTGAAGTCAACATCCCTACCCATCTTCGTTGTCACAAGGGCTCACAACTTATTTCTCAATTTACCTGTTAGACGGCTCCCAAGCCACTTGCTCACTCTCCTGACAGGGATTAATCTCTCAGACTGCAAAACACAGTCACTAGATTCTCCCAGACAATGCCAGTTTCCTGAAATTTAGTTTTTTTTTTTCAACATGACTCACCACATATAAATGAACATGATTTCATTTTGATGATGCTATGAGTCACCGTCTGGATAATTTCATGACTCAGAAAGACAAAGTTGAGCCCTCCATGTATTACATTATTGGTTGAGAAACTGGATTACGGAATTGGCAGAGATATGTTTCTGACCCTACTGGGATGCTGACTCCTAAGGCAGGTCAGAGGCTAAGGGGTCTTTACAGGTAGGACCATGATCAGAGAGCAGCAAAACCCACTCTGGTCCACAGGCCAGTGTGTGCCTGTATCTGAGGTCAGGTGGTCCCTATGTGATGATGCTCAGATGCAGGTACCAATCAGATCTTCTGGGCTCATGAACACTTAGCCCATGGGTTCTGGATGTGTCACACAGAAGGAGACATGACAGGCACCAAGTGTTCAAAGAAGACCTGTGCCCAACCCAGAGAACCCTGGGTCTGTATGACCACAGTGGCCCTTGCTGGGTATCTGTGGTTCCTGGTCTTTGTACAGCCTTTCCCAGCCCTCAATCCCCTCCTCTTTCTGACTGCCTCCAAAGCATCAAACTGCACAGCCTCCTGACTCTAAAGATGTTCTGAATGGTCTTAGGACCATTGTCTTTGCTTCATTCTGCTGATCCAATGCATTCTACTTCTCCCAAAAAAAAAAAAAAAAAAAAAAAAAAACCATGTGGAAGAGAGTCCTGAACATGCACGACCACAAAATTACATCTCTCCCTTCACAAAAGCTCTAACTGCGCATTTTATATACTTATTATTTAACCGAATGCATTTCCCCACTCCAGTAAAATACCGTTTTCCTTCTGTTTAATACTATCAATCAAATCTAATGGTGGGTAACAGGAAGCTGGAGTAACAACTCTTGAACCTGAAAATTGGTAGCCCTCAACTCCATGCCCTGCGGGAAGTCAAATCAAACTCCTGCTACCCCTTTCTCTGTGGACTAGGAGCAAAAGGAATTTGTATGCTGAAGTGGTAGCAAAAGTGCTCTGACCTTGAGATTTAAAAGAACTTCTAGCAGATAGAGTCTGGGAGTTTTCAATGTGCTCCCAAGGGCCTGGGCCATCTCTGCCATAGGCAACACGGTGAACCCCTTGGATTCAATGCGTGAAGGCAAGATGTTTTCAGCTGGAAGGAAGTTTGGGGCCATCTAAGGCCAACCTTGCTCTTCCAGCTAGGTTTTTTGCCCAAAGGATATGGAAGCTGAGGTCATGATTGTTAAACTGCCATTAATGGTCACAGAGGTGGCCGATGGCAGGGCAGGACCATAAAGCCAGGCCCCTCCTCTCCAGGAAGGCTTCCCACTAGGGAAGCTTCACTGCTAGGGACATGTGTCCTGCACCCTCACGAGCCTCTCCTTTTGTGACAAAAGGAGGCTTGCCCTCCATACTCTGTTGCAGGGTCTTACCATGAGGTCACTTATGGGATCACAGAAGAAAGGACTCACTTCCAAAGAGGGGTGGGAATGCATGAATGTGGTCTGTGAGTATGCATGCACATTTTAATAGGCCAGGCTTCTATTCACTCGTACAGAACATCAAA